ATATATATATATATATATTAGCCATATCAGTAGGGGTGTGGTGGTATCTTACTGCGGTTTTGATTTGCACATCCCCGATGACTAATGATGTTGAGCATGTTTTTATGTGATTATTTGCATCTGTATATCTTTGGAGAAACTTTTACTTAGATATTTTGCCCATTTTTTAGTTGGATTGTCTGTTTTCTTATCGAGCTTTGAGAAGTCTTTGTATATTCTGGGAACAAGTCCTTCTCCAGATTTGCATAGTTTCCCCCAGTCTATGACTTGTCTTTTCATTTTCTTAATAGTGTCTTTGGGACAGCAGACTATTTTAACTTCGGTGAAGTCATATTTATCTATTTTTTGTTTTATGGATTGTGTTTTTGGTGTTGTAGTGAAGAAATCTTTGCCTAATCTACGGTCGTACCATTTTCTGTTGTATTTTAGAAGTTTCATAGTTTTAGATTTTACATTTAGGTCTTTGATCCATTTTGAGTTCATTTTTGTATGTGGTGCAAAGTACAGGCTGAGATTCTTGTTTTGCATTAGGGTGTCGAATTGCCCCAGCAGCAGCATTAAATGTGTTCAGTAGACCGTTACTAATAATAGTATTTATTACAGTTCTTTTGATATGAACAGTCCCTGGCACAGCCTATCAAAGAGGGTGCTAACGAGGAGGGTCTCTCATAAATCTGGCCTGTTCACTTTGTAACACTGGAGATTTGTTTAGTTGTACGTTAACCCCATGTGTTTTGTTGAAGGTCTCAAGATTCTGCCCTCCACGGAAATCTTGCCATGACTGGATAGGACCTCCAGATAAATACTCAAACCTTCGACCTGTTCACTTTTACATCCCTGAAGACGAATCACCATCAGAGCAAAAGCTGAGAGAATTAAGACAAGAAACACAAGAATGGAACCAGCAGTTCTGGGCAAACCAGAATGTGACTTTTCGTAAGGTCAGTTTCCGTGTCCGGTCAGAATGAGGTATGACACTGTTGGCCACCTGGGGGTGCTAAACCTTAGCCTTCACTTTGCCTTTCAGTTACAGCAGGTTCTGTTCCCTGTCGTTTCTTTCTAACACTGATGAGTGAGAGGCTGCAGGAACTTAATTCTTTTTTTTTCTTTTTTTAAAGATTTTATTGGGGAATCGGGGAAGGGGAACAGACAAGTTGCTNATGGAAACCTTAACTCATAAAGGAGCTTTGTGTTGTGTACGGGCACTTCCGGGAAGGGGGGTGCTGGGGAAAGGTCTCCTGCTACAAATTCTGGCTTCTAGAAGAAGAGGCCCCCCAGGGAGTTTGCTGGGAGAGCTCAGGGGCCTGCAGGAAAGCAGACAGGTTGAGAGCTGGGCGGGGCTGCAGAGCTGGACGAGGTGTGGGGCTGTTTACAATGAACAAAAAAGAAGTGGAAGGTTAGCTGCCCCCAGACCAGCAGGGACAGGCATGGTCCTCGCGTGAGGAGGGAAGAACGGTCAGGCTGCTCGTCCACGGAGCTGTTGGGTTCTAGCACGTCTTCCCCTACTGCGACTGAGAGTTGGCCTGCCCCATGCCCCTCCCTGCCACTCCCGTCTAAGCATTAGATGTTTCTGCTCTAAGAACCATATGTGACAGTAATTATTACACCTCAAAGGGATTCTTCCTTTTGCAGAAGGACTTTTACCTCCCTCCAGTCCCTCCTCCTCCCTTTTAAATGTCAGTTCTTGGGTGAATAAAGATAGAGTATATGTTTATAGGGCAGTGCAGAGGAACTGCGTCTGCCACAGTTGAGAGAAAATCTCTAATGTGATCGTGGAAACGGAGGATGGTTGATAGAGTTGGTTTGTAGAGTTCACCTGGAAAGCAGTTTATAACAGCAGGAACTAAGATAAACATGGAAAGTGACTGAACCCCTGGGTGCCTCTTTGAGCTGGCTTTGTGATGTGTGGGCAACTCGAAAAAGCCAGGGATTTTTGGCCTAGTTCCTTTCCTGGTAGGGAACCTATCAGAAGAGAAAACGGGCCCCACTCTGGAAGGTGGGCATGGGCCAGCATGCACATTCAGGATGGGACCTGCCCTTTGCCTCGTGCTGCTGGCAGAGCTGACACCTGGGAGGAGGGAGGGAGCCCCATCTTGTGCTGAAGGTCTGCAGCCGATGGCCGGCTCTCTCACTGGCTTCCCTTGTGTGACTCACCTTCAGTTTCTAAGAATATCTGAATATCACAGATGCAGAGGCTGTGGAGAAGGCCAGAAAGATTTGCAGAAAAGTAGGGTTCTTAAAAGGGCTTTTGTTAACAAGCAAACAAACAGGAAAATGTGGTGATCGGATATTGTTCTTAGAATGATGGACGAAGTGTTAAAAGATGTGTGGATTGCAGTCCTGCCTTTACTCCCTAAAAGGGGTTCTTACGTCAGGCTAGTTAGAAATCAGGAGATTTCATGAGGAGCAGTTTCAGGTTCTTACGTAGCAGACCGGGATGTCTATCTGTCTGCCAGCGGGGCCCTGTCCCTTTAGCACAGGAAAGAAGAGATCAGTCCCTTCTGTGCGACTGGCTGACCCTTCGTTTGGAATTTTCCACGTTGGCTGTGCCTCTTACGGCAC